TGTTTCTTTTGGCCTTTGCTTAATAAATAAGAAAAATAGCTAATGAACATCTTTCTGGGAGTTTTCAGTTATTGAAAGACATTTATTATATTCCGTGGTTAAAACTTTTTAGGCTAGCCTCCTCTTTTCCTTTCTAGTCACTATCTTCTACCCAGAAAAACCACTATTTTAATTTCTATTATTATTGCTCTTTTGAACGTGATGAATGGAATAATATAGATGGTTCTTTCATATCTGGCTTCTTTGACTCAACTTTATGCTATGAACTCATCCATATAATTACATGTAGTTGAAGTTCAATAAGTTTTATTGCCTCATAATTTTTAATTGTATGAATGTAACACTTTTAAGATGAGGCCTCATATGTTTCCCAGGCTGGTCTTGAACTTCTGGGCTCARGTGATCCTTTCTGCCTTCGTCTCCTGAATAGCTGAGATTACAGATGTGTAATCTGTGTAACCCCAATTTTTTTGATCCTGGCTATTACTGATAGGCATATAAATAGTTTCTGGGTGTTTTTTCCCCAATTACAAATAGTGCTGCTATAAAGCCTCCTCAATATGTCTTTGGTAGACATAAGTACATATTTCTTTTGAGTATTTTACCTAGGAATGAAACTGATGTGTCATAGGACATGCATATATTTACCTCTAGTAGATACTGCCAACAGTTTTAGAAATATTGTATTATTTATTTTGGTACCTAGTGTTATGCTTGTGTAATGGATGATCATTTTCTTACTCTGAGGCTGTTCTCCACCAGAATATACCTTGGGTAGGTGTGGAAGCTTTAACCACTATCAGACATGAAAACAGGATATGACAATTGAGCAAGACCTGTTTTCAGGGGTGGCTTTGCTGGTTGCAAGTCTGAGCTGCTATTCCTTGTTTCCCAAATATACCAGTCCTTGCCACTAAATAGTAGACAAAGACAGAGAAGTTTGAAAGACCTAAACAATAGGAATCAAACAATGAAGCACCATCAGCAAAGACCTTGGAAACTGTGTAAAACAGACTGGATAGTTGTAATGGTCAATGTGAAACTACTACTAGTCTTGAAGTTAAATAGTTAAATGTGTGTGTAACTCACAGCTTGGTTGTTGTCACCAGTGAGGTGACAGAAAGAAAAGGGAGGTCTCACCAGTCAAGTTAATGGCCTTTAGCCATAGATCATGCCAGACTTCCTCAGAGGACCAAAAGAAGTGAGCTGCAAGGTCTAATCCAGCAAGATTCTGCCAAAATCATATGTAAGAGGAAAGCCTCTGTACTAGAATCTCAAAATCACAAACTTGTTCCTGTCACTTCATTCCATGGTCACATTTGGTCCCTTATCCTTCTTTGTCAACCACTTTATTTCTCCTTTTGGCCTCCCATCTGGGTTGATTACATCTCCAGATGTGCTGCTTAGTTTATCATTTCCTTTAGTGTCTGATGAGCCATGGTGTTTCCCTCCCTCTCCCACTCCACAAGAATACTACATTTTCTTCATTGTAATTAACATTATTAAAATACTCTTGCATGCCAGGAACTGGGTAGATAAATGGTCTGGCTTCATGAGAAGCTTAGGTATGGGTAAGAGAAAGGGCAGGGTGCAAGTCAATGTCCTTGGAATATGAGCTAGTTACACTAGAAAACAGTTTCCTCAGTGCCTTGGGTAACTTGATTCCTATAGTCCTGGAGGCTAGGGAATTGAGCTCCAGATTCCTGGTGGCTAGCACTCTGAAGACAAAAGACCAAGGAAGGACCCACACTTTCTTTTATTTTACCCACTGTGCCCTAAGGAAGACAGCCATGAAGGTGGGAAACAATGTTTATGACAACTTTCCTGAAAAGGAGACTGTTCACTTTACTCTTTGGTACATTTGTTCTGTCAGAATTGGGTAGGCCAATGGTTTGGGGTACCTGGACACAGAGTCTTGGTTGTAAGTGCTCCTCCTCTTTTAACTAGTCAAAATTCAGGAGCTCAGAATATATAAAGTAAAGAACATGTTTTAATAGAAGTTTTGTTAAGCTATTTCTATGCATGTGTACACACATACACACAGACATATATATTTACAAATATATGGTTTATTAACATGCTTGGAGCATTTTAGTTAATTAGAAACATGGGTTTAGAAGGCATTCACCTCTTCAACTTCATTATTTTCTAGGAAATTGTGGCCTCCAAGGCACTATAATTAAAATGTAGCAAAACCAAGAATGTAGTCCAGATTTCTTGCCTTCTAACTAATCATTTATCCACTGAGATATGTGCCTTCCTAGAAAACACTTTTTGACTCAATCCTTGCTGTTCAAAAATTTTAAATATGTTTCAGAACATTCTTTTTACTTAGACTGTGGTGAATATTAAGTGATATTTCTTTGAAGGTGTGGGATCTCATTATGGCATAGGGGCATTACTTTGTATATTATTCTTAATAGAATTGACATAAAAATAAAGACAATGGGCTGAATGTATATTGACCCAACAATAGTATCTGAAATTTCAAAAATGACTCTGTTATGATTCAGGTGTGGTRTCCCCACAAAGCTCATGTTCTGAGACAATGCAAGATGGTTTGCAGGAGAAATTATTGGGTTATATCCTTAACCTAATCAGTGAATTAATCCCTGACAGGGATTAACTGAGTGATAACTGAAATGGTAGGATGTAACTGGAGAAGGTGGGAATTGGGGGTGTGGCTTTGGGGTATATATTTGTATCTGGCAAGTTAAGATCTCTCTTTGCTTTCTGATCACCACGTGAGCTGCTTCCCTCTGCCACACTCTTCTGCCATAATATTCTGCCTCACCTCAAGCTCCAAGGAATGGAGCCAGCCTTCTATGGACTAATAACTCTGAAACTGTGAGCCTTAAATAAAGTTTTCCTCCTCTACAGTTTTGCTGGTTGGGTTAAGTCATAGTAGAAAAAAAAAAAAAACCTGACTAAAACAGATTCCAAATTCCTAATACTATGTCTTCGTATAATTTTTCCTACAGAAATTAAATTCAGAAAAATATCTGCCTAACAAAGGAATTTGGTTATTTTTGTGTAGCTATAGCTATAGAGCCTGGACATGGAAAGAAAACAGTAACTATTCTTAAGGAAATTGGTTTTTAAAGGAAAGGTACAGTGGAAAGTTGTAATTAAAATAATTTTCACACAGACATTTTATCCAAAGTATTTTATAAACTGAAATCCACAACATCTTATAGCAAACTTCAGCTTCTGTTCGAATAAATTACTTGCAGAAATTATATCATGCGCATTTACTAAGACTAGAGAGTTTAGTATTTCCTTTAGATGTGGAATATCCTCCAAAGGCTCATGTGTTGAAACCTTGGTACCCAATGCAGTAATGTTCAGAGGTAGGGCTTAGGAAGTAATTGGATCATGGGGGCTCTGATTTTACTGAAAGATTAATCTATTGGTACGTCTATTGGGAAGTGGTAGAAACTGTAAAAGGTAGAGCCTAGTTGGAGGAAGTAGGTCATAGGAAAGTATCTCTCTCTGGTCCCTTTCTGTTTTCTAGATACCATAAGATGACAGCTTCCCTCTGTCATGTCCTTCTGTCATGATGTTTCTGCCTTGCCACAGGCCTAAAAGCAATGATGCCAGATGATTATGGACTAAAAATATGAGCCAAAATAAATCTTTTCTCCACTAAGTTTATTTTATTAGGTATTTAATCGCAACAATGGACAGCTAACATAAATAAAAATATATAAATATAAATATATGCACATATATACATGTTTAAGATCATCTTAAAAATTGGTCATGTGTAATATGTTATTGTTTTTATCTCCCTAATTCTCTTCAGAGCTACTTAGCTTTAATTAAAAGCAACTAATAAAAATTTATGAGTCTGCTCAAGAATTCCAGCATTAGGACATGTTGGAAATTCATGAGGAAGTCAGGAAATTGTGTTGAATTCAAAGTAAACAATTTTAGAGAAACTGTTATACTTTTTGGAAAAATTAAATGAAATTCAGAGAAATTGAGGGAAACTTCTTAATAAAACAAGAAGCTTTTTATTACATAAAACCAACAGGCATAAATAAACAAGCAGAAATGACATCCTAAACTACGGTTTTGTTAATATGTTATAAAAGATGTTTCTTTTTGCCACTTTTGGTAGCTTTAAGGAAGCAAAATTCCACTGACTTATATTAAAAACAAGGTGTTAGGAATAGGAGTATCAGGACCTGGACACGAGAACTTTATTTTGGTTGCATCTGAAAGCCTCAATTTTAAGAAYTGCCAAAACGAACTGATCTTAGTCCCTTGTCACTGTAGCACAACTGAAACCACTGGTTAGTCGTCTTTATAGCCCTAATATGCTTTGTGGGCTTCTCACCAGTCCAAAATATGAAAACCTAAGCTAGCATAACTCAGTATCAATACTGGGATTAGAGGTGGGAAACCCTATTATAACATGTGAAGAATGTCATATACACTTTCTCATAAGACAGTTACTGACAATGTAGCAGACAATAATAAAGCACAAAATGTGCTTATCAATTCTTGTGTTTATACCAACGGCCTCCCACAAAAAGTAAGGGTGTGTTTTGAAATTTTGTCTTTATCAAGAATTTTAAAAATCCTTCATTTATTTGTTTAATACAGTTCTGATTTGTTGAACTGAGTGATCCTGGGCATATTAATGATTCTAAAAATAATAAAAAAAATTAACTGTAACCAAAAAAAAAAAAGGGGGGGAACAGCATTAGACTTCCCTCAATAAAAGTACCATTGTGTAGTTGAAACATGATTTGACATAAAATCTGCAATCTTTATGACTTGAACCAAATTTGTTCACCTCATCTTTGTTGTACCTGTTAAGATACAATTGCAAATTATTCACGACCTCGTGTCATAAGATCAGGATACCGTTAGGCGGTGTGACTTTCGTAGAGGAGTGCTAACCAGGGCTCTGACACCCACACGGCAAGGCAGAGGCAAGGAGCCACCTGAGTCCTGRCCCGGGACAGCCAGCACCCGAGGGCTCCCGAGTTCCGCTGACCCCGCTGTACCCGGCGGTGTTGGCTTCTGGCGTGGCCAGGTGCCGGCACAGTTATTTACGACTGCGTGGTTGGACTGAGGTCGCAGGGCCAAAGAACTGCCAGGATTCGCCGCCTCGCTCAGGTTATTCCCAGGGTGAGCCCCCGGCCCCGCCATCGGCAGGTTACCCCAGGCCTGGAGTCCGTAGGGTCTCTCTCCACAGCCGCGGACGGCTCCGCATCGACTTCTCGCGAGGTTTCGGTGCCCCCCTCCCCCTCCCCGCTCCCTCGCAGCGCCGGTGCCCACGGCTCCCGCTATGGCTGCACTGCGGAGGCTCCTGTGGCCGCCGCCCCGGCTGCCGCCGACGCTTTCTCCTCACCAGCCCTTTCTCGGGCCGTGGGGAAGGCCTGCGGGGCCGGCCCCGGGCCTTTCTGGACGGCCCTTCTCCTGTCAGGAGGATGAGGAGGGGGCTGTGGCTGAGGCAGCTTGGCGGCGGCGGCGGCGCTGGGGAGAACTGAGCATCGCAGCGGCAGCGGGCGGGGGTCTTGTCGGCCTCCTGTGCTACCAGCTGTATGGGGACCTCAGAGGCGACTCCGCGCGGGTGCYGGCGCCCGGGCGCCCTTCCGAGAGCGCGGCCACAGAGCTCGAGGACCTGCCCCGAGGCCGGGGACTGCTTCCCATCCCGGTGGCGGCTGCCAAGGAGACGGTATGTGCACGAGCGCGCGCACGCGCTGGAGGCGGCCCTCAGGTGACGCGCGAGGGTTGGGCAGGTATTCCACCTGTGCACGGGGAGGGATGGTGAGGACTATATGCACGGTGCGACTGAGACCGTAGGTCACGGTAACACTGGACGTTGAAGCTTGTAGAGATACAGTGAGCTCCGTGGCCATGGGTAGAGAATCTCCTGTGAGCGAGACTGAGACCTAGGCCGAGCAGCCTAGGATTTGTTTTACTAAGTGTTGGGAAGACACAGATGATACTGTCACTGATGCATCCGGAGCTTCTGGGTTGCTACAGCTACCGCCTGTCAATCAAACACTCCTCCTCCTCCTCAAAAATAAAACAAAACACCACTCAGAAAGGGGAGGAGAGGTAAAAAKGTGAGGGCTACGTGTGTAAGAAAGGAACCACCAGACTAGGCAGGGCAAAAGTAAATGATTCAGGAAATCGAACGCAGTAGAATGAGTTTTGAAGCAGTGATCTGAGGTCTCAGAAGTCACTAAATTAGTGCATGGAAGTACCAGGGTAGAAATGCTAAACCTTTGTAGCCTCCTTATAAGTCAAAATGAAAGATGTGGGCTGAGAATGTAGCTTAGTGGTAGAACACTTGYCTGCTATGCGTGAAGCCCTGTATGCAATTACCAATGCCAAATAATAATAAGTAAGTAAATAAATAAAAATTTWAAAAAAGGAGAAGGAGGAAATATGATGATATCAGAATGTAAAAGGGGGAAAAACTATTCAAAAAGAGTATATTTCTCTCCCACCTACCCCATTAAAACAAGAATTAAGAGGCTGGAGATAGAGCTCAGAGGTAGAGTGCTTGTCTGACTTGAAGCCCTGGGTGGTAGGAAACTATAAATGAAGCTCCTACAGAGGACTTTAATCACATGAAAATGTCTAACTATAAGTATTATTAGATAGTTGATAATATATATTAGACAGTTGATAATATAGGTAAAGATGACTGTGAGGTAAGAGTGACTAAAAAGGGCATGATTGATGTTTTTATCACATCACCATATTTAATAAAGAAATGCAAATAAACAGAAAAATTGTCTAGGGAAATTTTCCTTGCTACACTAGAAAAGTGTGAAAAAGTTAGATAAAAAATAATTTACAAAAGAGACAACTGTACTGTTTTTAACTTTAATGAAATTTTATAGCTTTTATGCTTTGTGTAAATACACGGTGGTGATCTGAGTGCATTGGTTATTTTGATGCAGGTCATTGATGCATTTAGGTTAGGGAATCTGCTTCATGGAACTTCTTGAAATAAATCATAACCACACAACCCAAAGTACTTTTATATAATGAATACTTAAAATAACTAGCAAATACCCTCAACATTCAATACTCTCCTTCTCCCCCAAATAGTACATTTTTGTGGCTTAAGAGGAAAGGTATCATTAAACTTTTTTTTTTTTTTTTTTTTTTTTTACCAAGTTGAACCAGGTTAGAACTTTCAGTCAACCACAGTTGATCTGGGAATAGATTAACAAGATAGGGAACATGTAAATAGTATTTTCTTCTTTTTTTATAATTAATTTTACTTTTAATGGAGAGAGAGTAACATGCAGTTTTCAAAACCAACACTCAGAAAACTAGAACTCAAGATCCACCACTTACTAGCTCTGTCATTTTGTGCAAATTACTTAATCTCTCAATACCTGTTTCCTTATCCATAAAAGAAGATAATAATCTCACACTCTTATGAGAATTAGAAGGGTTGATATATTTAAAACAGGATGACACACCTGGAATGTAGTGAACATTCAATAAATTTGTTTAATTAATTTATTTACTTATCTATTTTTTTACATATTGCTTAGTGTGTATGAAAGTTCCTGTACATTGTTTTAGAAGTCATATAAAAATGAAATTCTGTGTCTTATCCTTCCCAAATCTCTGGTCCTACATTTTGATTGTCATACCCTTTTTTTATGTGACCTTTCGAAACCTCTCTGAAAACTTTTGTAAATTTTTTATTCTTGATTTTTAAAATGTTCACAATAATGAGCTTTGGTATGTATAGTTTTSTGCTACATACTTAAGGTCCCTTTCAATATGGAAATTCATGTCTAAAATTTTGTGTAAAATTTTCTTGTACTATTTCTTTGATATTTTCTTCTACATTTTTTTTTTTTTTTGGTTCTCATTTTCTGGAACTGCTAGTATTTGAATGTAAACCTGCTAACAGATCCTAATTTAATTCTAATGTCAATCTTTCTTGTATTTCAGTTTTAACAATCTTGTAAGTGGTTGGCTTTTATGGAAAATATCCTTACCTTTATCTTCCAGACTTTCTTTTGAATTATTAATTTTAGCCATCCTATTTTTTTTTAGAACTATTTTTATATTCTCTGTTCATGGGTTCATGTGTTACAGGCATTCTGTTTTGTTTTGTACCAGGGATTGAACTTAGGGGTGCTTTACTACTGAGCCACATTTCCGGCCCATTTTATTTTTTATTTTGAGACAGTGTCTCCCTAAATTGCTGAGAGCCTTGCTAAGTTACTGAGGATGGCTTTGAACTTGTGATCCTCCTGCTTCAGCCTCCTAAGCATTTGGGATTACAGGCATGAGCCACCTGGGCCTCTTTTTACTTTAAGAATATAACTTGTAATTTTGTTTTGTTTTCTGCTCTGTGAATTACTTTTTTTCTTCTAGGTTCCTTCTTTTTTTTTTTTTAATCGCTGTTTGAGTTAACAGATTCTCGCTTTTATTTTGCAGATTATCCTCACATATCTATGGTTGTTGCCCATCTATTATTTGAGATCTTCTCAAAAGTTCTTTACATGAGCATGGCTTTTCATTGGGTGATATTTTTTATTAGAGCAGCACTCAAATGTCAGCATTTCATAGCACTTTTTTTTTTTTTGGTATCATTGAGTTTCTTCAAAGAATTAGAGAGGTAGGGGAGCAGTAATATTCTGGATGCAGGGCCATGTACACAGGTGTAAGAACATATATTAGGGAAATACCTAATGCTCTACTTATGTATTATTTTTAATCCTATTTTTAGTTCCATCACTTACAAAGTGTCTATATAGCTGCTTGTGTTTTCARTACCTCACATTTCTGAGATTTATACAGGAAGTATCTTACTTCCATTTAGTCTTTCCCAAGGTACCCACAGAGTGCCTCTGCTCCCCTAGGTCAATTATCACTCCTCCATCTCTTCAATTTTACAGAAATGTTGGTGAATTCTCTTGATTGTTTTAATCCCTTCTCCTTTTCTCTTTTTAGTCCTTATGTATTTGTGCCTTTTAAAATTTTTTTACTGTGATTTTAGTGTAGTTGAGGAGGGAAGTGACTGAAAGAAACTTAGGGGATCAGTCTGCCATTTTCCAGAAATATTATTTTAAACCCATGCTTTATTGGATTTTCCTGAAGTGGTAGAAATGAAGTGATTCTTTTTGATGTTTAAGACTATAGCTAAGAACTTTTTTAAAAGCAGTGTATTATGCTGAATATGTAAGCCTGGCCCTTAAATTAACCTGTATGTGTTATAAGGGTAATTTAATTGATGGGACTGAACAGCAATAACATTCAGAAATATGGTTCTCTTGCCATAAACTTGAATAGTTTTGTTTTAAAGATGCTAGCTGAAAACTTCTACCACAAGGCCTTCCCTGACTCCATAGATTTTTTTAAAAATACTTTTGCTTATCCTATACTCTTGGATAATTACTCTTTTGTAATTATCTGTTAATTCTGTGTTTTCTCTGCTTCTCTTAGTCCGGTAAGAAGAAGCATTGTGTTGGTTTTGGTCAACTTTATGTCTTTGTTGCCTCAGGCTAGAGCTTATCTCTGGTGGATATAATAAATATTTGTTGAATTAAATAAGCCTATGTTAAATATTAGTGTGGGGCATGAACATTAAGAAGCACAGCCACATTCTGGGAGAATTAATGTTTAATATTTTTTTCAGCTAAAGTATTTGTAGCATTTGAATCAGAAAGACTTCAGTCAAGGTCAAAATTCCAATCTTTGGGAGACCAAATCACGTGACACTATATTTATTTTAATTGTGTAAGTTTAACTTGCCAAAATTTTTAAGTAAACCTTGGCCTTGTACTATATTAAGATTATAAAGATGCTGACARGATTTTTTTAGAATCTGGCTTTATCATTATTTTCAAATATTTGTTCTAGAACCACCTTTTTTGTTTCAGGCTCAGAATAAGAAAAATCTATTGTATTACTTCATACACTTTATTTAGCATTTTACTTACTATATAGAACTCATAACCTGCATTTGGTTTGTTCATTTTAAGAAGCTTCAAACAATTTAGTTTGATTCTGGAAAGGATAATGTTAGAGCAGTTTTGTATCTCTTTTGCATTTTTCTATTAAAATGTCCAATAATCATGCATTTTAAAGTTTCTTTCACTATGTATCTTTTCTAATCTATTTTCAAAGCCGCATATCTTGAAATGTGAGGTTATGCTTATTTTTTCCATAATATTAAAGAATTTACCATATGCGTTAATGGAAAAGAGTGAAGAAGGTCACATAGATATGAAATTGAAGATGAGTTAATTCTGTGTAAAAATACATGGTTGTTTAGAAAGCTAAATTGGATGATCCCCTTTTTTGGTTTCCTGAATCAACTCATCACAAACAAGTCTACCACATTCCACCTGTACTACATCTAATGGCCTATGTAGTAGGACACATATAAAAGAGTGTAAATAAAAATAAAATAAAAAATAGGTCTGGGGGATATGACTCAGTGGTTGAATGCCCCTGAGTTCAATCCCTGGTATCCACCCCTCCAAAAATAGTGTAGATTATTTTTTTTCTACATACATCACAGAGTGAAATTTAAATACATTTTTTGGGGAAAAACACTTCTTGTTTCTGATTACACCAAACCTAGAGTTGTGAAAATGAATGCAGCTTTTTTCTGTTTTTTTTTTTTTTTTAAAGACAGAGTGAGAGAGAGAGAGAATTTTTTTTAATGTTTATTTTTTAGTTTTC